CGATCGATCGCGAGATGCATACAGGTTATGATCGTTTCCGTGAAGGACCGACGTCGTTCAAAGGAGAAACGATCCCCGCGATCGACGTCGCGAAACGAGAGAGCATCCCGTGCAACATTGGTTCTACTCTACTGACCGAGGAAGACCGAAGTGTGTTCGTGCACTCGTGGCAATTATGCTCTAGAAAAATCCCGTTAAAAACGATGGCCTCGCGGTCTCTCGTCGCGGATCTTCGGCACCGTTCTTGGAACGCGGTTATCAATTACTCACCTAAAATCTCGCTCGTGAAAATTGTACAGCTATTTACTCCTAATACGTACGAAAGTCCTCCGCCCGGTTCGTTCGAGAAGCGTAACAAGTTCTGCGTAGAATAAGTACGTTCAGCGTCCCAGATCTGTCGCGTGTATGCGCATCATCCGAGAGGCAAGTATCTGCTGCGGAAACGGGTCGTAGAAAAATGCACCAAACAGTCACAGACATGATTCACAACACGCGTGTAGCACTTGTGTGGCCTCGGTTCGTCCCCGACCAGTTACCCATCGCCGGTTAAGTACACAAGGCCGAGCTCCAAGGCTGAATCCCGGGCTAGGTCGCGAAGTCGACCTTGTCCCAGGTTAGCGACAGATCGGTGGACATCTTGAAGTCTGTGTCCTCCATGTTGAAGAGATCGAACGGGTCCTGGCTGCTGGCTAGTAACGGGTCGTAGATGTCCGTCCCGGATGAGAGGCTCATGGACGACGCGGGCTGATGATTGGACGTCGTTGTGGAAGCCGCTGGAGGAGACTGTGGCATCAGAGAATCCAACCAGTCCTGGTCGTCCATGTCCATGGGCATGTCTCCGATGTCCATCAGCTCTTGCGGTGCCTCCATCTTGACGCCTAAGTCGCATTCTAGCTGACCGAAGTCCATAGTGTCTAGGGTTTCTAGGTCTAATCCGAGTTCCTGTAGCCAGACGGAAAAACATTAACCAATTCCTTAACTGTTGACCTATCAGGGACAAACCTAACTCGACATTTTGCTCACCTTAAGATCTAAGTTAGCGTTGTCCGAAGATGTCACCTCCTGTGGCGGTTGAGGATCGGGCGACGCTTGATGGACCGACTGGGGGCTGAGTAGCATCGCGGTCTCCAGTTCCGCTTCCGAAGTCAGGAGGTCCGTGTTGAACGACGTCATCTCCTCTTGCTGCTGTAACTGTTGTAATGCACTGGGCAGTTGAATGGAGAACGTTGCCAGGGGCAACGGGGGCGGTGGTGGCGGTATCGTTGCCGGAGAACTCACGCAATCACTCTGGGAGACCTCCATCGCGATCGGGCTGATCGGGCTGATCGGACTAGCAGCGGTAAACACCAACGAGTGAGTTTGGCTGTCCGCCGGCGCCGTGAACACCAGATTCTGCTGGAGCTGCCTGTTCGGGGTCGTCGGAGTCGCTGGATCCTGCGCTGCGCTGGGCGGCAGTTCTCCATTCTTTATGAGAATCTCTAGCACGTCATCGACGACCTGGCTTTTGATGTGGTTCTTCTGCACTGGCTCGATTTTCACCTGAAACAAAAATATCGAGAGTGCAATCTTTCCTTATTCCACTGTAGCCCATCGTACATACGATAAACTAAAGTTTCTCGCGATTCTTACTTTGAGAAGCTTCGCAGCTTCGTCGTATTGAGGTGGCGGTGGTTTCCCATCTTCAGCGGCAACAGTTTGTTGCTGCTGCTGGGCTTGCGCCTGCGCCACCAAAGCACCAAGAAGAGAGCCGTTCAGTTTCGCAGGTTTCGCCAGATTCAAGACGATCGCAGTGGGGATTTGGACGGTAGCGCTGTTCTTAGCTTGATTCTTCTTATTGTTGATAGCAGTCAAAGTCGAAGAATCTAAAATAGCGGTGTTATTCGGCTGCGCCTGCAAGTACGCCGCGAGACTAGCCTTCGCGTTCAACTGCTGGAACGCAGCGTGCTGTTGCTGCGTTTGCTGCTGAGCTTGCTGTTGACTCTGCTGTTGCTGCTGTTGTTGTTGCTGCTGTTGCTGCTGCTGCTGTTGCTGCTGCGCTTGTTGTTGCTGCAAGTGCTGCAGGTGTTGCAGATGCAACGCTAATTGCTGCTGCTGCATCTTGTTCTGTATGTGTTGTTGAAGTACCAGTTTCTCAGCGTGAACGGTCGTAGGCTGAGTCTGACGTATTTGCTGGAGCTGCTGCTGCGACTTGTACAGCTCGCGCTGCAACTCCTCTATCCGCTTTCTTTGCTCTTTGATTATGTCGTCTCCTGAAACACGGACTATAGACGTGAAAACACCGACGTGTGTTGCGTTCTGAAAATATTTGCGTGCACTGAATCGATAATTACTAATTTCTTAGATCTTTCGTAATTGGAAGTGGTGCGTTCCCGTGAAATAACATGAATGATGATATAATTTATCAGAAAAATGCTTAATGCACTTCAAAACGACAGGTACCTGGCGGGCTCGACGGATCGTCCTGCTCGCTGCCATGTGGTGAATCTATCCGCGGGCTGTTGGGCTCATCCTTAATGGCGGAGCCAGGGCTCTTGGCATGGGAGCTAGACTCGTCGGATGTGACTGGCCCCGGGGTGTCCATCAATATGTGGCCCATGTGCGTCACGTGCGGTCCATTCGAGCTAGACGTCGAGTTACTGCTGGATAATTCCGTGAACGGCTTTAATCTCTCGATCAGTTGTGGCTTCGAGCCAGACACCGGCAAGTTTCGACGCTTCAGTTCCACTTTGAGATCGCTTACTGGAAACGATGTCGTTCATCACGGTCAGTCTCTAACATCCTTCTTCGTTTATTCATTTACAGGAAGTAGACAGAGCAGACAGAGCATAATAGAATAGCAAGCCTCGAGCAACGTACCTTTCATTTCTTCGAGTTTACCCAAGGGCCTCAGCGGCGGCTGTTCCGAGGGGTTGTTCGAGGAATTGGAGGGAGCAGGGCTGGGCGCGTTCACGCTGCTTCCGCTGATGCTCCCAGCATCGCTGGCGCCGCTGCTGTTGAGGGACAATGGCTTTTGTGCTGCCGGTAGGATGATCTGGGGATACTGCGGCAACGGAAACTTTCGTTACGCAACGGCCAAAGTATCCGATCGAGCAGACGCGTTAATTGCACGGAACAGACGTTTCAATCGAGCAATTCTCCGCGATCTCATAACTCGATCTTCGATTATAAATGCGCGCGTAATAGCATAATTGCTATGCAAATCGTCAGGGGTGAAAGCGACAGCGCTAACTAGTTACATCCGACCAACGGATTCGTTTATTTCAGTCCCGCCAACGATCGAGAAATAGTCGACATTCGCTGTCTGCCTGAGAGAGCGTACCTTGTGCTGCCATTCGAGCTGCCATTGCAGGAAGAGCTGCTGCTGCTGGAGCAGCAGCTCGTAGCTGGTCTCGCCGGGCGGTGCCGAGCCGAGGCCGGAAGTCGTCGACGACACCGATGTCTTCTGTGCGTTTGGCGGGCCCTGGCGACAGACATTGTTCGACGTTAGGGTTAATCGTCCCTAATGAGGGAGGAGTGGCTTGGCATCCTGTGCTTCCAGGCGGGACGTGAGTGGAGTAGGAACCGGGAAGGAATGTTCGGTTAAGTGTTCGTGAACCACCGGAGCCACGTGGTATAAAATCTAATATAAAAAGAAGACCAAGGTCGGACAACGAATCTCATGTTCCAACAATTATCCGGTAACAAGTATTCTCTACGAAACTGAAAATCCCGCGCAACTGTCGATCGTCGTTTAGCTAATCCCGAGACATCCCCGAAATGCGACAAGAGCCATCAAGAGGAGCGAAAATTACCGTGGGTAATTACCGGCAACGTTTCGGCCGTTCCGCGGAGCAGAAAAATTCCGAGTATGCCTGGGCAACGTTCCGCGGCAAAAACCCCGGAGAAAAATCGCGTCGGCCGGCGGAGGAACGGGCAGACGACGTAGGAGAGGCAGAGGCGCGAGTGATAAATGATACATCAAGATGTTTTCTGCGCCCTCATTTGCACGCCCATTCCCGGCTCGCTTTCACGCCGGCCACGCCATATCCCGAATGTTTCGGGAGCGTGGCCGGGTTCCCGGCACCTATCGCGAGCTTCGCTGCCCCCTGCGCCCCGTTCGACACCGATGGATCCGCTTCTCCGTCGCTCCCTGGCTTCCTCGCTCTTAGGTGCAATTAGCGCTCGAATTACTCAGAGCTAACGAGGTGGGCCCGGACCCCGGGCACCGGGCCCTTCGAGAGATCGCGAGAGTTAATCACCCGATACGATCTCCTTCTGCGCTTCTTTCGCCCCTCGACGGAGAGGGGCAGGAGAAAAAGAAAGAAGAAGAAAGGGAGAACAGGCGATCGCTTCTTCGCGGGCTACCGAAGTCGAGATTTACCGGCCGTACCCGTTTTTTACTTTGCTCCTGGCCTCCCCTGCCCGCTTCCTCCTCCTCCGGCCCGGGTCTTTTTTTCCTGCAGCCCTTCTCCGCCGCTTTCTTTTCGCCTCTTTGCCCCCCTTTTTCCGAGACTTTCTTGTTCCCCTTGTTTCTTCTTTGTCCGTGCTCCCGTCCTTTCTTCCTTCGTTCGAGATCCTTTTTATTGTCTCCTCTCTCGTTGGCTTCCTCCACGCGGCGTTTCCCCTTTTCCTTTTTCCCTCGAGCGCTAACGGAACTGACGCTCGTCCCTCGCGAGTCCGCACCCCCCCGGCGCACGGTACATTATAATTACCTTGCGTCACGGGTGCGCGTATCCTCGCGGACAGACGTTATTCCCATTCCCGTTCTCGATAAAAGCGGTACGCGCGAGGCAAGTCGTAAAATCCGTACTTTTATTCCGACGCGCGACGTAACCGCGGACATAAAGAACGCGCACGCCTACCCGCGAAGTTTCAGCGGGATCGGGAGTGAAAGTAGTAAACGTAACATTGATTCTCACTCGACTGGAATGGATCGTTACGTCGATGACGGGAGGGCGGTGACGCAATGATCATTTTCATTTCGATAATAATCCTCTCGAAAGTGATTATTAAATTGCGTTACCGAATCGTTATTTATCGATTCAATTGAACGCGTTCGACTGGCGCGTTAAGACGGCGTTCCCTCGACAGCCGCGTCGAGTGTTCCTTTTGGTTCGGGATGCAGCCCGACGTCCAATGGAAAAATCAATGGAAACTCACCTTGTACTCGTGGAACTTGATAGTGCGGGTTTTCGGTTGGCTCTTGGTCTTCGACTTCTTCCTGTTCTTATCCTTGCCGGGCGCGTCGCTCCTCTGACACGTGGACGCGGCGATCGGGCTCGGCTGCGGTCTCGGGGTGATGGCGGCCGGCGGTGGTGCCGGGGGCGACGCTATCGAGATATTGGAAAGGGGACTCAGGCTGGACGTCGTCGAGCCCAAGGACATCGGACTGGGCGCCGGCGCCAGTGGAAGGAGGGTCGTCGATGGACCGTTCGTCTGACTCGCCTGTTAACAGAGATCGTTCGCTTTTTTTCACCGCGGAATCCATCGATTAATCGGCCCACATCCCCGGCCACCAATTTATGACCGGTACTTAACGTCCGACGTAAATCTATTCTTGCGTCGATCCGTCGAGGCCTCCGCTCTTTTTTTCCCCGCCCCACTCCGTCCGCGACGCGGCCTACAATGTCTGCGTCGGAGTGTTCCGTCGTTACTGCCCTCCCCCCGAATATTTCTCTCTTTCTTGCCCCGGCCGTCCGAATCCGAATGGTAACTCACCTGCGTGGAAGCATGCTGCTGACTGTGCTGGACCTGTTGCTGTTGCTGTTGGTGTTGCTGCTGCTGCTGCTGCTGCTGCTGCTGTTGCTGCTGCTGGGAGCTGACAACGGTGTTGCAGAGTTCGGCGAACGTTTGTATCGTCGACTCGTTCGACGCCTGCTGGAAGACCGGCGACGTGGACGAGACGACCACGGCACCGCCGGTCGTCGGAATACTAAGCGAAACGGTAACGATCCCAGCGGACGCGGCCGCCGTCTCCAGAACGTCCGACCGGGACGACTCCAGCTGCGGCGATGGCGCTCCTTCGGAACTCTGGGAGTCGTCCTCGAAGGTGATGTAGTGGTCCGGGTGCTGGGGCTTCGTTACTTGGCCCTCGCAGGTGGCCTTGAAGGGAATGTGGCCCTCTGGAATCGAATAGGGGATATTAACCTTTTGGCTGAGGTAGAATCGCGAAGCTATGCTTCTGTATCTTAAATTCTGACGCAGACTGTGCTAAAGTTTTCTACAATTGCGTTAAAACAGGCAACAATGTGCATAGCTATCGATGTCAAAGGACAAAGTTAGCCACTGCACTGGCGTGTGGTAGCTAAGAGGTTAAAGGCAAACGAAGCATACAGTCTTAGACGAGAGGCTGAAGAACTATAAAAGAATCTTTATCTCCAGGCTATTCATTGCCATTCTCCATAGGTGTGAACCGCGTTTTTCTTTCGAATGGTCGGTGGTCAGGTATCAATCAAGATCGCGTTGCTGATGCGTCGACTCACCTTTGACCGCCCTTTCAATGGGCTCCTCCGTATGGAGAATATTCTTTTGAATGAGCTCGAGCGGTCCAGGTCGATGACTGAGCTGGTCGTTCAGTTGGTCGGCCAGCCTGGCCTTCTTCAGCATACGCTGTCTCTCGGCCAGGCTCGGATCCACGTGACCCACATCCTCGAGGATGTGCTGCCTGACCAGCTCCTCCCGGCCTGGTCTCTGCTGGATCTTCGCCTTCAGCAGATCCCCGGTCTTCGCCCGCTCCAGCTGCTTGCGTTGCTCGTGAAACGCTGGTGGTGTCTTAAGAGCTGCAAAACAATAGGTATTCTTATTTTCTAATGACCACATTGGCCGCGATGAATCACAGTTTAGAATAAAACAGACTCCGTTTCGCGCGGAAGATTCACGTATACGCGATTCACATGTTGGAACGAACGTGTCGATCGAAATCAATGTTTACAGTGTCGCGCGCCTTGCATGGCAAACACCGAGCTACCGGAATTCATTTTCCGCGTGAAAATAGTCGCTCGGGAAACTCTGGAAGGTCTCCGATATTGAAAGCCTGATTTCAATTCTGCCCACCTATGTCTTCGTTAAACTTAAGGTTTCCAATATATTTATTCCATTATTACCACTACTATTATTTGTATTAACCAAAGTGTATCCATCCTTCGAACCCTTCAATTACAATTCACAACTATTCCAATTACAATTGTACCCTATTAATAATTAACAATACCGAGAGGAGACTCCCAATCGAACTATTTCTCATCGTAGAGGCCTACAACTTTCTTCTCGCGTATTTGCGTCTCTGTACGAAGAACATCCTCCGCTTCCACCGAGCGTCTTCAGAACGCGTCGATAGCTGCCGGCAGGCAGAAGCCGCGGCAAAGGGCGCGATCTAATAAAAGAACGGCCGAATGAAAAAGCGGCCCCGAAGCTTTTAGAGTGTCCTCCGACGCATATTGCACGCATCAATTTCCGGGACGATGGCCGTCAAAGGTCTCTTCCCGCAAGGAGAGTAAGACGCGCTCGCGCGGGTGTGGGCGCCATTTTGGTGTCAACGTGAAGCGTGTCTCCTCTCCCGCATTCCTCAACACCATTAAGTCTCCGGATAAATGATCCCCGAAGCGATTTCTCTACGCGAGCGCCCGGCCACTATTTCCGGACGCAGACGGCGGCCGCTTCATTACACGGAATAAAAGGCTTGCACCACCTACGGTGCGCCGACGTGGCAACGGAAATGTGGAAACGGGCCGCGGATCGTTCTCTCCACCCCCGTCGGCATACCTAATAAATTCCACCTCACTTTAATTCCGACCGTGTCCCCGGCGCGGCGCGACGACGCGACGACGCGGCGCGCGCGTTCCTGCCGGACGATATTTTCGCGTTAACGCTTTATGAGGAAGTCGGGGCTTACGGGCGCGGCTTCAGGATTTCGTAAGGGGGTTGCAGGCACGGGGAATTTGCGTAACCTGGCCCCGTGAACGCTAGGTTTACGGTATCCGCTGGAATATAGCTTCGAATCTTCGAAAGAGAAATTTCTATATACACGACCGATTATTTCTTTGTACTTGGCTCGAGGTCTACAAACGGTTGCATTTTTGAGAATGTAATATTTGTATTGCGTCGATACGTTCTCAGCGGAGAGAATTCTTCGTTGCTCAGTTTTATTGGTACACTTTCATTCGAGCCGCAGGAATGCAGAAGAACCATTATTCCTCATTTCCGCCTGCGAAACAGTCCCACCTTAGCCTAGATTCTAGAACCACCCCGTTTATAATACTCCAACATCAACATCGTTTTCGCTGTGCGTACGCGGTGACAGGCGTTCGTGTAAATCCACCTGAAACTGTCGTCCACCTTCGTCGAGCGACGTTCATGGTGGACACGGCTCGCAACGTCGAGCGGAGTAAGATACGGGGTATCGAAGCTCGTTAACGGTAAAGAAACCATGGACCGCAACGTGCAATGGGGGAAAGAGAGAGGAGCCGGTGAACGTTCGACGCCGCGTAGGAAATTCTAAAATTAACCTCGCGATTCGATTCAATTAGGCTTCCTTTCCAACATCCCCGAGCAGTTCGCGTTCGCTCGCTCGCGCGCGCGCGAGGTCTTTTGTCTCACCCACGCGATTCAGTCTGGGCGAAACGCGCCGGTGTACGACGATCGCATCTCGGTGCGTGTGTTTCGCGCGAGCCGAGCCAGCTGTGACCCAATTGTCTAGTTTCTATCGAAACGCTTATAAATCACCAGCCGGCGATGGACGCGCGCGGCTGTGCAACGAGTCCCAGTATTCCAGCGGTGAACGATCATAAAAATAAATGATGCCTATATCCAGCTCGGAGATGCGGATTTCGTACGATAAATTTCACGTCGGACACGCTAGATCCCCGTGCGGTTTATTGCGTCCATTGGTACGCGACACCGGCCGCCATTATCCGACGCATCGCGACGATTCGACTTTCTCGGATTCGCAAACCGCTCGTCACGGTATTATCGCGATTATCGTTATCGCGAGTGGGTAAATCAACTTTTTGGGTTGTGTGATAGCTGTTCTTCGATGTTAGACAATTGCAGATCAGCTAATATCGACGCTAGAGCTGCTAGATGGATCAGAATCGCCTGATTTCTGTTTTCATAATTATTGAAAAGGTACACGTACTTCTTCGAGAAATTATTAACGGAACTAATTCGGTAGTAGAAAACCTGAGATACGAGCGAACTGAAATCTTAATAAACGAACACTTATGGTTTTTATAAAGAAATTTGTAAAAGTCAGTTTAACCAGTAGTACTAGTGTTAATAACGTTGGGTGAAAGAAACGCGATGTTCTCGGAAAAGAGGGAAATACTAGGCGTATTAGGTTTAATTAAAGATATCGTAGAATCTTGGAACAATTAACGATACAATCGAGTAAATTATGTGCAAACAGATGAGACGATTAGATAAGATCGAAGCGAATCTACCTAGCCGTGAAATTATACTTGTAGAATCCTCGGACAATTACGCTCGCTGAACGCTTTCGGAAGTATTCCGATTTTCATGCAAATGGGGATCGCTGTCTGGGTGAAAGCCAGCAGACATGCCGCTTTACCTCAACTTCCTAGTTTCTTGGATGATAGAAAGCGCTCGGCGAGCGGTCTTCACTATTTCTAGAAATATAATTGGAGGAGAAAAAAATTGGCAGGCTAAGGACCGAACGGGAGATCGGGAATGCAATTTCGCGCGCTCGGGAAAGGCAGTGGCCACGATCAACGGCGAAATCATTATCTCCGGCGAATCATAGAGCGCGCACACGGGACTGTCGCGTCGGGTCTTGAATGTCGAACTTCATTACACGCGTCGCGAACGGTCTTCTTTGAAGCGAATTACCCAATCAAAGAGAAACTACGGGCAGTTCGGTACGGCGACAGCGGTGCGTACCACGCAATCAACAAAAACAATCGTGTTTTATGGCGCACCGTTGCATTCCGATTGTCCGGTTCGATCGATGGTTAACACGTTCGTCGCAGACGTATTCGCAACGGCCACGAATCTGTACTTTACATACAGAAATTAAAATCAACCCTCCGAAGATAGTGCCTGTATCTATTTTCTTCCTAATTTTCGAAGACTCCATCTAATTTCTTATCTTTTCACACCAAACTCGAGTCGCTCGCTGATTGTATACAATTTAGGAAGATCGTTGCATCTTGTAGAAGTACGTTCTTAAAACATACATCAATCGACGAAGAAGAATTTCGATAGTTTTAGACATAGCTAGCCACGGAGTGAACGCTACAGATATTATAACAAGTTCAAAGTTTCCAAAGATGAACCGTAACCATTAAGACTTGTTTCCCGACGTTTCCAGCATTGCAGCTCGGTTTAGGTACTCACCGGTTAGCCAGAAGTGCTTCCAATTTAAATACCTCGCTCGGAGTTACGGATGATCAATCCGATGTTTCTAATTGATCAGCGAAGCACTAACTTTGACCAACCGGTATCAGTACTCGTCAAACCCCTCGACGATGCCAGCGATCCCGGCAAACCGCCGGTAAACAATTCTTAACGGACATTCCTCGCAGCCGGAAACTTCGATCACAGCATCCCTGGCCGTGAAATCCTCGAACGAATCGCTCCAGATATTATCGTTCCAAGTTCCAACATACGATATTGTATTCCAGAACTGAAATAACTAGTCTCGATTCCACTCCTTCGATACGTTACTCGCTAGATCCGTCGCACTCGACGGAATGTTGCAACAGAAAAGATCGTTCGGCAACAAATGCTGGCGAACCTATTAAGGGAGAGGGGTCGGGGGGGACGGCAGGACGGGAGAGGCGCCGCGGAACCCGAGCGGGGACTTCCCTAAATCATTCGCAATCGGTGGACGCGGACAGTCCGGCGGAGTCGTAACCGTTCGCGCGGCTCGCAATTTCGGATTTACGATCCATCGGATCGGCCCGCGATCGTCCACCTCGCGCGTCGTTAGACCCCGCGGCGATAAATGTCACGGCTCGTTGGAATACGATCAAGTCCTCGCGGATGAGACGAGCGTCAGGCGCGATTTCGCCGGGCGGCGATTGACAGCCGCGCGGAAAAACGCGCGACTATTTATAAGCGGCGGCTCGCGACGCGATCGGGTTTACGGTTAACCGACGCTTTTAGCCACCGTCCGCCCTCCCGTCCGTTTGTCCGGCAGCCTCCCCGCGAGGCGTTCGCGTGGGCGATCGCATTGTATAATAACGGCGCGGCGTTCGGGAAATTTCGCCGATTATGCAACCCCGTTTCCGCACGCGAGCCGAAGAACGGGCAGCTGTTCGTTCGTTCAATTTCGCATTGTCCGCCTTTCCGCGTGCTGCCCGGAACGATACACTTTGTAACGATCGCGCGGAACCGGCGCGAATAAATTTATTCCTTTTCGACGTTCCTGCGGGATTGTATATATTACCGCGCGGATCGTTTGTACTCCGCGCTACGCGCGCCTCTGTGTGGGAAGGACGCCGTTGAGGTAGCTCTGTGCTTCAAGGAGAGGCTGTTCTTGTTCGAGGGAGTGTCTACGTAATATAATACTTTGATCTGATTCTGGTGGGCTGCGAGCGTGTGGTTGATTGCAATTTCGAGTTAACGCAGTGAATCCGTAATTCTTTGGAAGAATACCGATTAACCCCTTGCTCTACTTATTTTTTAATTGTGTCGGTGCAACTACTTTATTGTTAATTATACATTAGAAGAAAAAATTTTGTTGCTATACGTTTACTGCGAAGGTTAAGGATTGATAATAGAAAAGTAATATTTAACGTGTATTTGAAAAAATAAATAACGTAGATTCCTGAAGTTCGGTTTAAAATTTTCGTCACGAGTCTGACATGTAGGTCAAGGGGTTAATAGGATTTTCCTTCGCAAGAATTTGAAAGTGAATATTATCTTCAACGGTGATTCTATTTTTCTAATTGTGCTCTAATTCTTCTAACTCTTTCTCTATATGGTAAACGGTGTATAGAGAATGTTTATTGTTTCCGTTGGATCGTTCCACTTTCGAGAGTTAAGCTCGAAGCGCAAGGATTCCGTGGACAAGTCGTTCGAGTCCGGACAACCGAGCGGGTTAGAAATGAAATCGGTTCCTCGGCCGATCCCCGTGCAAAAGCGAAATAAACGCGTTTGTTAAAATTCGGCGCGACTCGGCGCAGCGAAATTAATCGCCGGCCGTAAACAGATTTACAGCATCATCGCCGGCCGCTTCCCCGAAAAAACCATTATACCGGTCCGCCGCGTGCGATATCTTCGAGCGTCCGGGAAGCCGTAAATGAATGAATCTCGTGGAATGAAAGTATACACGATGATTCGCGTGAACGCCGCCCGAAACCGAGGGAATCGGCCGTCCTATTTCTGGCGGCCGATGTACGGGGTGTGCGTTAATGACCGCGCGTGCCTTCGGTGGTGGCACGGCAACGGGAAGAAATGAATGATGCGCGTACTTAATGCACGCCCTATTTCTGATCCTGAACCAACGCGACGACTGCTGGAACATCTTTTCTTCGATTTATCGCCGACGCAACGCATCGGCCGAAAAGCTTGATCGCGCGAACGAGATCGAGTCAATTTATTCCGCTACCTAGCTGCGAGCGAATCGATCAAATCGTAACACAACAGAGTTCTACAATGTTCGAGTATGCGGTTCGGCCAGCTGCAGCCCTACCGAATGCCTTCGCTCAAGGACCAAAGCAATAAACTTCCCACGATTGTACGGCGGCGATCAATTCACGGTCCGCCATAATGGAAAACGAAAACGTTCACCTGGTAAATCGATGATTTGTAACCGAATGAATTAGCGTTCTTAACCGTTTGATTGCCAAGCGATCGCAGCGGTACACTGCGTAAAAATCCGTCTATCGGTTCGTAGAATCAAACGAAGTTTGTTCGCCCTCCTAATTATTTATTTTTGTTATTGCCTGCTTGGAAAGAGACAAAATAGAACGATCGCGCTATTTAGAATGTTTTTAGTTGAAAATGCGCTGCTTTTTTTCCACTGTTTTTGGAAAGGCCCGTGGCGCTCAAACGGTTAAGATTACAGGTTACATTAGGATTAGATTGCTCGCACGAATACACCGCGAAAAGTTGCTCGCCACTGCCGATCGGGATCTCATCGGAGCAGTCGCCGGCGATCCACCAAAAAGATGACACGATATTATCACGCAATTAGCGGCCGTACACTCGAGCGTGTCAATTTAAGATACTTTAGGAAGTCGCTCGATGCGCCGGTCGCTTCCTTTTGCGCAGTTGCCCGAGCCATCACGGGTAATCGCGAGGTAATTAAGTAGTAAGTGGATTAATCGAGCGTCTTCGTGGCGGAGGCGAAGAAAAAAGCGGTCGGTCGCCGATGAACTCGATATATCTAACGCGGAGCCTGTATCCCGAGCGAATATCCTACACGGACGCGTGCTCGTGCGCGTGTAGGTACACGCGTATATTTGTTTCAACTCGGGGAAATGGTAACCACTCGGTTTTAGTGGCCACTAAATACGCAGGCATCCGCAACGAGGTCCCCGCGGTTCGCTGCTTTTTATCCGGGTTTATTGCGGACGACTCTCTAAACACCGGCCCGGAGCGCGACGATTTTACACGCGGGGGCCTAATTGAATTTACGTTCGGCGACGTTTAACGAGGCACCGTCGCGCTTCTGTTTCGAATCTCGGGATCTTTACGAGCGACGCTTCGTCACTTTGTCCCGATCCTGTCCCGTTCGAATGGGAGGGAACCGTTTACCGCGGCGACCTATCTCCGGCCCGCGTTTCTCGGGAAAAATTCCTGCCGTCCGGACGATGAAGCCGGCCGTGTTTCGTTTCCGCGATCGGGACCGATAGGAGAGGCCCGGTGGAACGCGCGACAATTTTCGTGGGAGTCGCGCGGACTCGACCGGCGGAGGACGACGTAAATTCCCGGGTAATTCAGCTGTAAATTATGCGCCGGCGAAGCCTTTCGACGAGCAACGGCCCGGTCGTGCTTGATTGGACGATCAAAGCCACGCTCCTGCTGCGAGCCCAGCGAGAAACAGCCCGCCGGTTCCGCGATTTGTCAGTTTGTAACGTCTAATTGAGAGATAACGGCGCGATAAAGCGCAGGCGACTGTAAAAGTTTCGCGCGGAACGGAGCCCCTCGCCGAACGGCGAGAACGAACCACCGCGGAACCGTTCGTCCGCGGGGGAAAGAACTCTCGGAGATAAGAGGATCACTTACGTGGCATGATGCCTTGCGCAACCAGCTGGTTTATCGGCCGCCTCAGCATAAGCTTCACCTTCAGCGCTGCAACAGAGAAAGCAAGGTTTTCTTGAGAATTTCTTTCGTCGGGATGATATTTCACCGATTCGTGCTCGGCCGGAGCGCTCGCAGAGGATAAGTAAATTGCTTCATTCGATATGTAATTCTCGATCGAAGGATCTTCGAGCAAAGCGGTGCTCCGACGAGCGGACTACCTTCGGGCGGAAAAGTCAGAGCGGCAATATTCGAGCCTTAGACGCATGATCGTTATTGGCGACAAAGAACAGGAGCAACATCAACGACAAAGTGAGATGTAATAGAGATCAAAGTTCAGTGTCTTCGTTCTCTATCTAAGGTAGTCCACAATCTCCTACCTAAAACATAGGAACGAAAGAAAGGAAACCAATATTCTCCGTTTCATCCCATTTTTATTTCCCTCCTATTCTTACTTCCCAATTGTCCATCGCGAGCATCCCCCGCACTCGCGCGTCCAATAAATTGAACACGCTTACTAAACACTCCATTATTATTACCGTTCCCCTCAAAGAGGCGCTGCGTTCGTCGAATTCCCGGGATTCGAAAAATATCCGCAGCGACAGCCGCGAGGTCTCTCCCCGAGCCGTCCCGTGGATCTATAAAAATGGCCACCCGGGACGATCAAAGTCTATCGGGCTGGCTGCGCGGCCCCCGGCTTTCGCGGTAGCCCGATATTTTCTTTCCGCGTGTGGAATAAGCTGTTCCATATGGCGCGAGCCGGTCAGGACGCGGCGCGAGGGGCGCGGGGAGCAGCCACGAAAAAAGAAACCGGCGGGCCGAGGGCCGAGGGAGCGAAGGAAGGGCGAGGAGGAGAGAAAAGGAGAGAAAGGAGGCGAGGGAAACGCGGAGTCCCTTCTTTCCCTCGTTAATTGGACCACCGCACGCGCGCGGACCGCCGTTTCCCCGTGCTAGCGCGCGACGATGGCAATTTTCAGGCGGATAATTAAAGAGCGCCGGGTCCACTCGCGGCTGCATAAATTAAGGACGGTTTCATTTTATTAGCCTCCCCGCGGGACACGTGAATCCGCGCGCCGAAAGGCGCGGCCAGGTGTAACGGGATTCGCGTACCGTATTGTCGGGGAGGAAGTGCGCGGCTCCTCCCCCTCCTCCACCTCCGCCGCCATCTCCCCTGCTACCTGTATTTCACTCGAACGCGGACAGGTATCCGAGAAATTCACTCGGAACGGCCCCCCCCCCGCTGCTCGGGGGGGCGGCGGACACCGCGAACGGCGCTGAAAGTCCTGTAAGGAACAGGATTTTAAGGCCCCCGAGTATCCGGAATCGGTTTAACTGTCCCCGACAGCGAGATAATGTTGCCGGGCCACGGAACAAGCCGGTGACAATCGGAGTAATTAGCGCCGCGTTATTTATTCCACGGCGAGCTGCTTTCTCCTGCGAACTCGTGTCCCGCGGTGCTTCCGGAGTTGGTTACCTAGGTGGCACTCGGTTCTTGCGTTTTTCGGTTGGAACTCTGCTCGAGCTTTTTGATAGTGGAAAGACAGAAGTTTGCTATTTTACTTTCGTTGGATGAATGCTGCGGTTGTTTTGTGATCTACCGGCAACTGCAATTAATTTTTATAGTACTCCCAGTGGAAGTGAGAAACGCTATAACATTTCTTCGATCTTTTTCCTTAGTACAAAATTTGGATGAGCGGGGAATTTGATAATTTTAGGGTAGTTTAAGATTCATTGAAATATTTTATAACTGGTGCAATATTGGAGCCTACAGGGTTCAAAGGGTTAACCCTAATCGGACCACGATGTGACTTTGAGTCACATTTGAACTTTTGAAATTTTTCGATCGTTTCATATTGCATTTCCAAAAGCTTCTTTGGCCTTTTAAAATTTGAGCCCTATAACCGAAAGCAATAACATTGCTTAGGGTTAAACTACTCGACAGTGGAACTGCTGGGTCAAGATGAATTGCAATCTCTTCATTTAGAATCGTCGAAAAGATAATTGGGTACTTCTGTAGAAACACTCGGTGAAGTCTATTCCCTCGGCAGTTCTAGTGTTAACGCTAGATCAGTGAAGTGTATTCGATAGACACCGGTTCCGCAGACACAAATAGATAGGACAGTTACTTCGACGAGAGATCGGTGATCTCGGGTTAACGAAGAAGACAGCTCCGATCGTTAACAGCTCGTCTAGCTTGCTTCGCTATGGTAATCAGCCGGAAAAATGAAAGATCAAGATCCAGTGATTAGTCCGTATCATGATCTTCCTGGGTCCGGACGCATCCCCAGCGAAAGGAAAGTTGCATTTCTCATCTCGCGATTCCTAATTAAGGGAGGAGAGAGAGGATTGTGGTCCGTGAATCGGGGGAGTAAAGGGGGCGGCGGATTGCGAGGATCGTTCGCAGATCAAAGGTCGACGGAAAGCACAGAGAGGCCGAGCACGGTCGTCCGGCGAATCGCTGGCCCGGCTACAAATTAACACACAAAGGGCCCCCGGTTATAAATACGCGGAGGACGCGCGGGCCAGATTGCATAAATTGCCGGCGTAAGAGGAACAAAACCGCGGGCCGCATGGCCGCGCAATCTGAATTCAAAGCAGCCGTACTCCCGGAGAAAAATGTCCACCTCTTTCGGTTTATTGGCCGCTGCCTCGCGGCCAGTTTTTTCGCCGATCGAGAGCGAATGTGACTTCGATGTACTTGCTAGAATAATCGACCTTTTAGATTCCTCTGCTCTTCCTTTACCTTTTTTTTTGATACGTTAAGCCCTTGTTCCAAGGATGTGATATTCATTCGGTATGAATTCAAAGGTTACAAATTGATAATCGAAAGTAATATATAATTTATATTCAGAAAAGTAACGTTCAGATTCGTAGAATGCTGTGTATATCACGCGGAGGGTAACACTGGAACCGATAAATCCACAAAAAGATAAATAGAAGTCGGGAAGTTTCTATGAGTCTTTAGAAGACATCCGGCAGCGCAACATCGACGCCGGAAGTTCGGAAATTGGGGTTGAAGTATTAACCTCTCAGCCTATAAATTTCATCGCGAGCTTTCCGTGCGTATTTCTAATGGGCGCCCCGCGTTTTTCACCGTGCCGATTCATTGTTTAATAAAGAAGTTTTTAACGTGCCCGCGGTAAAGTTAAAAAGTGAAAGGGTAATTGATAATTACGATTCCCCCGCGTGGAAAGTAATTAAGGACTTTTATACGTTATTTAAAGGCCGCGCGGCTCTGATTACAGAACGTCGAACGGATGGAAAAAAAAGGAGGGAAGGATCATCGATACTTCCTGCATATAAATTTCTACGAAACAGGCCACCGTAATAAATATCCCGCGTCACGATCGGCGATCGTAAGTTCGCGGATCCCCGTAATTAACTAATCAACGGTAACTTGGAGCGGCGCACAAATTTATGGTCCCGGAGTGGCGGTAATTACAGTGCTAACGAACAACCCACTATCTGGGAAAAAGGAGCCCCATCGAAGAATCAACGCGCGAATCGCGATAATCCTATCGCCTAACGAGCATTCCCGATCGTATCCTCGCTATCGATCCGGCGAATCACGCGCGGAACGCGCGTAACTATGCGCGCGATTGCATATTTCTCCCGGTGGCCGAGAAATTCGCGTGCGTGCGTGCGCGCGCGTGAATTCCTCGAGGTTTCTCTTCCCGATAGGAGGTTCGGCCAAAAAGTTGACTGAACGTCGTCGGTCTTCGTCGTTGAACCGTCCCGCGGCAACTTAAATCAACTTCACTCTCTCGCGAGCGCAATATGGCGGACGTAATGCGGCACTAAGTCAGCCATGATACTTCTAAATACGTTGCGCTCTTCGGGTGCAACAACCCGTACCCGCGTCTGAATTTATACTTTTTCACTTTCGAGCTTCGACTAATGTACGCGAATGTTGGAGGAATTATTCTGTGACAATGATATTCTCCGGCGCGCCTCGGCCCGTTGCGTTTATGCCAGGTCAAGCAGATACGTCGCTTAATTAAGAGACACAACATAAATATGCGGACCTGAGCTTCTCATCGCGCACCTACCGAGCGGAGATGAAACGCGATACCGAATTAGATACAACTGTGCCCATATAACGATACAAGAAACGTTGGCTCAGTATTTGGCGCTGTGTATTTTGGCACTTGCGTCTAGCAGCCGTTTTGGTCGTTACCATTTGTCTTCTGTGGACCATGATACCTTCGGGCGCGTCCCAGTTCCTCGTTTTCCGCGTATCTTTTTTCTGCGCGTCGATCTTCCGCCGATGGCAATCAATTACCGGGCAGATCGTGCGATGGGAAAACTTATTGCTACATATTTTATCTCTCGAGCAAAACGAGAAAGCGAACGTTCTTCTGTTATGTAATCGTCGGCTCTAAGAGTCGAAGAAATTCTTTCGAATGTTCCTTCGAGGCAAAAATCTCTGGAAACGTTCTCGAGGATAACGATCGAAGGTTCGAAAAGCAGCCAATTAACTTACAAACATCTGGGAAATAAGGGATCACCTGGACGTCCCGCGAAGTACAAACTGCTCAGGACTAAATCAGGACATCCGACGTCTGCTTGATGGACCACGCCTCCGGTGTGCAGTCGAGGAATCGATGAAATATCGCGGGAGGTCATCGAATGTCAGAAAGCAAAGGGTACGGGATGCCTCGAGGAAGACGGACGTTAACGAGCAGATGGACGAGGCGGAGGTGGACGTCCGGCGAACGATATCCTGGACGAAACGACAGGGCGACTTCTCGCTGGGCCCGTGTGCATAGCTGTCCCATGTACCCGGTGGGCCGACAGCTCGGGACTCGGTGGCTCGTGGCCGAGTGTCAGGGTGGCACGCGGATGCCAGCCATGTTTCGCATTTCTGGGAGATTTCATCGTTGTTCGCCGGTAGCAAGAATGGCCGACCGCGTCGAGGTGCCATTGTCTTTTTGCGCGGGGAAAAGTTTCTCACTGCGCTGGTGTCGGAGGGAAATTCGTCTTTGTCGCTCCGCGAATTGAATATTTCGCCGATTTATTGGACGGAAACTTATTGTGCTGGTACTAGAAAT